CCTAATATTCTTACTTCATTCATACAGCAATATGTGAATCTTATTTTTTGCGCTGAAACTAGTTAATTCATATAATAATATATCACTTTAACAATATCACATTATAATATTAGAATTAAAAGATGTATGAGACTGTGTCCTGCAAATTAGGACAGTATTTAAAAAGGGATTGTCGGATTAAACATTGTAAATGTGCTCATCTAGCGTATGCTTTCAATGAGAAAATAATCAACAATTTAAAAAATATACATTTCATCAAGTTCCTGTGTTGTTTATACTTACTATCGTAATGTTTGACGTAAGAAAATTGTTATTTGGTATTATTCTTGGAACTCCAACATCTATTAACGTCACCAAAATCATTACGTTTCACACACCCTTTATTTTATTTTAAAACAGTAATAGCAAAATATCTTACGCGTTGACCCTATATTTTTATTGCATAAATATTTTCCTTCACTATCTCACTACACGCTCGGAAAATTATAGCAAAATTCACCGTGTTGATTTTTTTTATTACACAATCTTTATTGCGATATCGCGCGATATTTGCATCAAATATGGACGTTAGAACGTAGAGAAAATGACGTAAAATCGCAGACTATTAAGTAAATGTTCTAAGACATACATTTACTGAATATTATAAAATTAAAATGAAGGAATTCGGATGAAAATTGATAAAAAAAGACCGGTTTATTGATAAAAAAGACGCAATTTCGCCGCGACCAATAGAGGGCGCTTTGACGTCATAGTAACTCTGTTTATTTATAAAATAATACTGCAGAAGTAAAGCTCACATATTTATATGTTTGCATACCAAAAATCATCAAGATCTGAGATGTTGTCATATTTCGGTCGGAAAGTAGCGAGCTACCTTAAATAAATGTATGTGTGTTGAAAACTCAGTACTTATATAAAAAATTTATACATTTTTATTAATTATCTGCTTTAATGGAATAACTTTTCTGTTTGGGACTTTATTCATATTACGTCCCAGCCAGTTTCTATTATGCAGTAGACACTTTATTTCATTCAAATAGGCTTTAAAGCCCACGAGGACACAAATCATAAAAATAACAAACAGTGTATGACACCAACATATATACATAAAATCAACAATCAGCAAATGTTTGGGGATGATCAATTTGATTGATAAAGAAACTACCTGTCAAATTGTTCATGTAGTTACATATATAATATCAAAATTAATATTTAACTTATGTACATAACACTCAACGTTATTTCTCTTAAGAACAAAAAACTATTAAGTTTCACAATTTTGACTGAAATGATTTACAAACTGCCCAAGAATGTTGGCGTATAGTAATAACAAGCTAACACTTACAAACTAACATTTACATATTCACATATATTTTGTATCGGTCATCTTAAGACTTACAAAATAATATTTACATATTCACATGTAATTCTGCATCTCTTATCATAATTAATGTATACATATATACATTACATGTAATACTAATTGGAAATTGTATTTATTATTGACTTTAGTACATAAACAATATTGACATATGTTTCACGGTTCAGAACTGTTCACTATTTAGAGGATAAAATGTAAATGACCGGTCAGCTCCGTCGTTAGTGCCCCGAACGGTAATTGAGGGTCTCAGGTTCGAGTGCCAGTCAGGCTCCACATTTTCTTAACTTGTGATACTTTGCGCCCAACGGGGCACCGTGATTGCATATACACAGAGTTTAAGTTCGCATATTGCTCTGTAAATCTGTGAATTTCAATAAAGCAGGGGAGTATGTCACTGTTCAGAACTGTTCATTATTTAGGAAAAAATATTTGTGAACTGCAGGACAGATAATCGGATCAGTATTTGATGGTCCCTGGTTCGAGTTTCGGTCAGACTGCATATTCTTCCCACCCTATGTCATACGACAAAGCATTTACAGATAAATATATACTAGAATAAATCACATATCTTGTGAACAATTAATTACACAAAGATTATATACAATACTTCTATTACATTATAGCTACGATTTTTACAAATGAGTTTGTTTATATAATCACTTATGACTTAATGTAAATATTTTATGTTTATTGGATGTGACTTAAAGACCCATTAAGCATTAAGCAGGGTGTATTTAATATGTTGTCACTAAAATAAATAAATTACTTACTTACTCATGCACAGGGTTAAAATTTAAAGATCCCTTCACATTATCTGCGGATTTCATAATTGAAATAAAATTTTATCAGTATAAGAATATTTGGAGTATCGGTTACAATTCGAAAGTCCAATTTTAAAAGTGATTTTATTATCAATATATAATTCATTATGTTCTTAACTTGATTTTTTAAAACAAACTGCGACAATTCTTATTTTTTTTAAACAGAAAATTTCTTATACAAAAACTGTTTCCAAGATACATAATTTATAACCAGGGTACAAATGTTTAATTTACATAGTGCGGCCATTGTGCCCCTGTCCTGAACAATGTACAAGTCACCGAATCATGCAGAAACACGGCTGATGGGAGACGAGGAAACTCGGGAGATGATGATATTTTCCAAGAAAACGCATTTTAATCATCTTATAGAAGATGAAACCGTCAGAGCTTAGACAATAAAGTCTTATTAGATATAACATCTTGTGACACTCCTCACAGTTATATAAATTATGGCTATGGGATTAAACCGGTCATCCTCGGGGACAATTAGTTTAAAGCGACTTGTATAGTTTAGCACATGAATTAAAAACAAATCATGTGAAAGGAATTAAGATATTTGACATCATAAACTTCAAGCAGATATATTCAAACACTTTAAAGGTAATAAAAATGGTTCAGAATAATATACTCAGTGAGACCTAATGCCTTACATGTACTTCGAATTCTGCACTGAATAAATGGTGACGTTTGATAGAATAAGTCGAGGGTAACGGATCAACTGTCATCATGGTCCTCTTGTTATATTGAAATTTATTTGTTTGAACAAATAAATATGTGCGAATATTAATTTTCAAATTTAGCAAATAATGCGCTCCCGATGGAAGGATTTTATATCAACACGATAATTGGTTAAAGTTTCAGAGGTTAACGCGCTGGTCATGGGTTCTGAGATCATCTCCAGATCCAACACTTTTTGTCTTTTTGATGATCCGTTTATATCAAATCCCTTGTATGCAATATACTCTTTCTGTAATAAGACATAACACTATTATCATTTCACGCAAGTTAAATTTGTCTATATACCTTATATCGCTATCGATTTTCATCGATATCATTCAAATTAACATATTCATTCTTGTCTCTTAGTCGTGATAATTGTTGCCATTCTGTTATTTAATGTAAAGAAAAATGCGAGAAATTTATGTCGTCTTGCTGTATGTTATCATAATTATGTGATCGAAACTATATTATATTCACGCCACGCTTCAAACTTAAAGCTTCCGTACTTAACATTCTATCACATGACGCATAAACATTTTCATATTGTAGTTAAACAAGTCAATATTGTCATTTAACATTTTAATACGAAGCCTTGTGAAGTTCACATGCTCTTTAAACATAATAAAACGATACGTTAACAATATCACATGACACATAGACACATTCAAATGGTTGTTAGACAAGTCAACATTGTCAATTAACATATAAATATATAGCCTTGAGGAGTTCATTTGTTCTTTAAACATAATGTCGCATGACACATAGGCATATTCAAATGGTAGTTAGACAAGTCAACATTGTCATTTTACATATCAGTATGACGCCTTGAGAAGTTCACTTGTTCTTTGCACATAATGAAACAATACGTTAACAATATAAAATGGCACATATACATATTCGAATGGTAGTTAGACAAGTTACCATTGTCAATTTACATATTATTATGAAGCATTGGGAAGTTCACTTATTCTTTAAATATAATAAAACGATACATTAACAATATCACATGACACATATACATATTCAAATGGTAATTCGACAAGTCAACAATGTCATTTAACATATGAATATGAAACCTTGAAAAGTTCACTTGTTTTTTTAACAATATAACATGACACATAGACATATTCAAATGGTAGTTAGTCAACATTTAAAATATTAAGCCTTGAGTCATAACATAATAAAACGTTGTGTTAACAATATCACGTGTCTCGTAGACATTTAAAGATAGTATTTTGACAATTTAACAGTGTTCTTTATTACATGTTATTTCGACATGATTAGTTATCGCTCTAACATTTGAAAACGGTATTTTGTTAATATGTTGACAATTTAACGACAAGGTTTAGCATGTTTACTTAATATCTTGAGGTACCCAAATGCTCTACTGGCAATATAAAACCAAGTTTCAACATTGCAACACAGCCGTTTGACATCTTAAAATGACAGATTAACGAGTCAACATGTCGCTTTGTATATTAAGATGATACGGTAAAAAGTTGGCATGTCAAACTGACAAGCCAACGTGAAATGCCTCAACAATGATTAATCCTCATAAGTAAGTTGAAGAATAATAATTATTACATTATACTTATTAAGTAACACAAAGAATTTAGACATACATGTTTCTGCGAATGTTAGTATGGATGAGCTAACGGAAAGGCACATCTAAGATTATTTTGGACGACTTAAGGAAAGCCATTGTTTTAATGTGTTTGGCTATTTATGATTTGTTTGTGGTAAACACTGAAAGTTTATTTGCAAAATAATCAGTAAAATTTCACAAAAGCATAAAATGCACTGCATATAAAAATTGAAAAAGATGATAAATGTTTTTAAATACTAACCAAAACAACATCAATATTCTTATAAAAATGACATAAAAACAAAAACATTTCGACGGAAAAGAAAGGAAATAAAACTGTCATCAAAGCAGTAAATCGTAAGCAAACAAAGACATACACTTTTTTACAGTATTCTAAAAGAAACATACTCCGTTTCTGTCATTTACAATAAAAAATTCAATGTTGATTCATTCTAAAATGAAAAGAAGATAATATCTCAAACTAAGCATTACTTCATTCTTTTTCTACTTTTTTTGTATATCGAATCAGATACTCTGGATATATCTGGTTGTTGTCAAATATCACGAAGATCGATGGATTATTGTAGTCATCTACACATGAATCGTATAGGTCGCTGCTTTGATCGGATGTGTCTTTATGTGGAGGACGACAGTAAGAAGAATTTCCGCGCACGTATTCTCCTGGCAATATTTTTGCAACAAACATTGATTTGTCTGAACCATTCTCTGTATATGTATTAGAGTAGTCGGATTCAGTCGCAAAGTAACAACCTTTTCCGTATGCAAGACCTAAATAAAATACGAACCTTTAAAATTTTCAAGTTTGCCTCGAATTCATATCAAAATGCATTGTCATTTTGTTTTATCGCGATACTAATAATTCAGTTAGTGCAATAAAATATATTTTAAATATCCTTTTCAACATGACGCTATAATGAAAGCTCTGACATAATCTTTATCAAGTTATAAATTGAGTTATAAGTAATGCCGAAAATAGATTACTAGCTATTCATTATTTTTAGCATTGATATTAATAATGAAAGATACTCGTCTTTTCACTTTGAAAATATTGCTTTAACCTTTTACCTCATACATACGCGAAACAACGCACTTTCGATCCCCCCCCCTCTATTAGACCTCAATTAGTAAAAAAAATCCTATTTGGGCCCCAAACACATGTTTTTATTTGCGAAATGTTGCTAAAAAAGTGAGCAACCCCCAACCAAAAGATACATCAGGGGTTGCCAGAAGGGGGGTTGGGGGTTTGAAGGGGTGCGGTAGTCCCCCTCATCTCCAAGAAAATTTTAGACTTGTGAGAGGCTAAAAATGACCCAAGGTCGAACATAAGGTAACGTGTAAGCAACGCTGAAAAGCTTTTGACTCTATCTCAATCCCTTGAGAAGTCGCAGCACTTTGAAATAAATTTTGATGGAAAATATTAAGGCAAAAAGTGATTTTTGCCATGGTAACAGGAAATTTAAGACTTGGCATGTCGTTACAAAGGCAATGGTCAAATGAACATTTATGCCAAGTTTGATTAGTATTGAAGTATTTGTCATAATTTAATAGCAGTTTGAACTTGTAACTGGAGACTTTTCAATGAAAACGGCCATTTTTCACAATATGCTCATGAGGGAAAGGGTTAAATGTAGAAGTAGTATTAATATTTGCTAAAAGTTGCATGTTTTAACATTCAAACAAATAAAGTTGTATAATCATACGTAATAAATCATTTGTAAAAAGCACATTGTATACTTTGAACCTTCTATTGTCGTATGGATGTCAAATTGGCCTCACATACCAATAAATATTTAAATATTTAAACAACATTTAAATAAATGCTTTATACAAACAGTGTAGCAATTACGGAAGACCCTTCTTAATCAGGTTGAAAAATAAAACATTATTGCGACAAAATTCAGTTTAATACGTTTCCCACACTGTGTTATGAAAAAGAGCAGTTTGAATAGTTATACCTGATGCTTGACCTGATGCTTGACCTTCGAGCCTGAAGTCAAACCCTTGCTTACAAATAGCAGCTACATTTTTGTTCAATGACCCATGGAACACTCTTTTTTCTCCGAGTTGACTTTCATTTTTCTTTTTCAACATTTTTGATTTTTTCCTTTATTAAAGTGAATGCAGAAATATGAAAAAGAATATCAATTTGATATACTATTGGTAAAATGACACACAATGTAACATATCTCGGAATTATATCTACTTTATAACACTTGATACTCATAATGGGATTAATGGGATACTAACATTTGGTTAACAAATTTATTAGACAGAGAGTAATTGCGTACACATCGTAAGATAACCAATATATATCCGACTTGTAATTTTTAGGTTTGCACATAAAATGAAATTTTAAAAACTGCAAAGTTTTTTTAAGTTAACCTAAACCCCGCGAGTAGGTTGTGTCGCCTTATCAACAGTATATCTATCAGTTAGGCACTTTCTTCTTAAATTTAGATTAATTATAAACACTGCTTTCGCAATGTACATGTATTCTAATTTTGAGTGGCGTTTAAACTGATTTAACAATGTTACGTCTGGATTAATAAAACTGTTAAAATAAATAAGGGGCAATAACTAAAAAAGACATTAATATCAGAGTACCAGTTATCAATGAGATCTATCATCCTTCAAAGTTTCAAGTCACAGCTTTTACAATAAAGGAAAATTAATTGGACAAAAATAAAGTTTGAAAATTAATAAAGAATAATAACTCAAACAAATAGGTGCAATGCAGCGATTCTTGGGTATTGCACTTCAGGCTAATGAAGAAAGCTTGCATACCAAATTTATGGTCAATTATAAAGACCAAGTTAGACTTTTGACAAACCTATTAAGAATGAAATTATAAAATGGCAATAACTTAAAAAAATCATTATGCGAGAGTGCACGTTCATGTGTATTGCATTCCTTCACAATGAGATCTATCATCCTATGTAGTTTCAAGTCTCATTTAAAGTGTAGGAGAATTGGCCCGGACAAAAATTGAGTATGCTCTTTAACAAAGGGCAATAACTCAAAAATCATACCGGTAATTGATAACTGCTCTGCTTCTCACTTTTTCTAAATGAGATGAAACATCCTGTGAAGTTATTGTCCATAGCTTTTATAGTTAAGGAGAAACGGCCCGGACGACAATAAAGTATGCAAATAAGCAAAGGGCAATTACTTATAAAATACGAAGTGCAGAGTAACGCTTTTTATGCACTTCACTTTGGCTAAATAGAAGAAGCATGCGTACCAGGTTTGGAGCTAAAGCGAATCATAGTCAATGAGTTATTTCCGGGCAAGCCTAAGTGGACGCCGCCGAATCCGCCTACTTCGTCGCTGCTGCCGCCGACATCACAGACGCCGTCGACAAAATTAACCCCCTTTATTTTAAGGCGACACTATTATCACTTCATAAGTAGGACGCCTCTTACAATTCATATAGATATACGCACAAACTTACAATACACCCATTTTGATCAACGATTGATATTTTGATTTTATAGGTAGATATGTTTACATTTCAAATCAACCTACATCATATAGTTCTCCCACAAATCACCATTTTCAATCCTGTCTATTGATTTAATGTCAACGTTCTGCAGACTTTGAAAGAACAATGCTTGGATTTGTCTATACTCTGAGTCTGATTTATTCAACTGTAATGAGATAAATGGTCAACGTCTTTATTGATAAATTCATCTATGATTTTGTTATAAAATACGTATGTAAGACGGTGTTAGATAACACTTGATATGTACGTTTTTTTACTAGGGTGCTAATAAACGACATGACAAGTTCGTGTCTTAGTCACATTGATTTCATTAGATAAAAAAGATGCTTCTGAGAAGGCATACCGAATGTCACAATATGTGTGATTGCTTTTAGTACAAGTGTTTACTGGCAATAAAAATACCTGCCCTAGAACAATCATTTTATCCCTCAATCATTAAGGAATCATTGGTATTTATCAGGTGAAAATGAATGTCGACTTACATAAGTTTTAAGCTACTCTTTTACTATTGATTTTTATTTCGAAATAACTTGTAACTAGAAATTTTAAATGTGGAAAACCCCAGTAAAAATACTTCCCTTTACAATCACAATATGTTCGAAAAGATCTTTCCCCTTTGGTATGCCCCAATTGGCCGGTGCCTTAATTCCTTTACTCACTGCACTGTCTGTAGTCCGTACTAATCTCAGACTTAAGAACAAAAACAGAAAAAATACAATTCTAAAAATACTATTATAAAAATAAAAACAGTTAAAAGGTATTTAACAATTCCGGGTTTAAATATTAAAGTTTATGATTTTTTCAAAGAAAAATATACAGTCCTAAAGTTTTGGCACATAGGACTATAATTTGTATTTATTTTACAAAACTGTAGTTAAGCGTAAAAATAGAAAAAGCATGTAGCCTTCCTTTTGATATATTCTCTTTTAGAAATAGGGTACAAAAAGTTGGAAAAGGAACTCACCGGTTTAATTCAAAATCAAGCTTGATGATGAATTCTGGCCGTCTGCGCAATTCCCTTCTTGTATTATATGCAGTATTGCGCTGTATCATTTCGCTAAATTCGACGATATATTCATATGATTGTGTCCCCGTTGTCTTAAATTTTACTACACCGGTTGGATCGGCAACAAAAGCTTCTTCTAAATCCTTGCTCTTTATTTCAGCTTTATTTCCTCCATAGTCATCCTGTTTTACATTAAATCAGACTAATGATCAACACTTCATATCAACGTACACGCAACGCAGCCCAAAAACATTCATAGTATTAGAGAAATGAGCAATGTTAGTTTTAATAACAATCTGATTTAGAGGTAAAATATATACATGGATGTACCTACGATTACACGTGGAAACTTGTAAGATAAACCCTACCTATGAGAGATGTCTATATTAATAGGACTAACGTCTATTGATATTTTACTAACATCAATGACTTTAAGAATTCAATAGAGCACCATAAACGTCACCGTAACTGTACTTTTACAAATTTAAACACTTACAGTATTATCGTATGATAAGAGGACATTGTTTATGTTATCAAATACTCGCATTATACTTCATATGTTATACCAAATCTCCAAACTTTATCCATTCGCCATATGGATTTTGCCAATACCACAACCAGTTTGTTCTCCATGTTTGGTTACCACGGTTTACTAATGAAGGGGTTGATAGTCTTTCTATTTCAAAAAGTCCTCCTATATTATCAGTGCCGCTCATTTGTTGGAAATCTATGGTCATTCTACATAAAATAGACTTGTTTGATAAACATAACATACACCATTGTTAAACATTTAAATATATTATAGTAAACAAGCGATGGCTTGAACAACGACCAGTCCTGTTTTTAACCATCCGTATAAAAAGGCATGCCCATTAGATTATTTACCAATTCGTCGGCTTAATTAGACAACCCCAAAACTAGATTTTTTTTTACAATTTTAGATTTTTTTTTCTTTTCTTATCGCCTCGTTCCATTGAGCTCTTCACAATGGACATACTTAACTAGTTGTAGGACAAACCTAAACATGTTTATTACTGATTTAACGAACGGTCACTCGCTTATATACATCAAACTTCAGTGCTAGACTCCAGTCCAACCAGACATTCTGTTTTTGAACCACGTGGTACATGACAAATTGGTTCCCTTTTTTATCATAACAATTCTTTTTCAAGGATCTTAAGGGATTCATTTGATGATAATTATAATACATAACTTGACTGGTGTACATAAACACATATTGTCAGTTAGTTTCTATAGCTATAAAATAAGGTAAGGCTGAATATCTATCTAGTTAGTTCCTTGTTGACAAGATTGAAATTTGAATTAATATAAATAGCATTTGAAAGTTATATTGACGTCGCTGATATTTCAAACAGAAATGTTATATTGGTAAAAATGTTTAACATACAGATAAGATTTCTAAATGCACAGAATGTGTATCGTTATGACGTTAATTATGAACATAGTATTGCAGTTCAAACTTCCAAATACGATTCTTTTTTTAAAATGAAAAAAAAGACATACGAGCGAAAGTAACAAAGCTTTATGGTGTGACCGTTTTTTGTCGGATTACTAAACGCCCGTTCTATCCCATCATTGTCATCCACTATAACTGTCCAGCTCTGTTCCTGTCTGATTCTATATCTCCACTGATACGGCAAATCACAATGTACATTCCGACAGTTCGAGCCCCAACTACATCTTCCACGCAAATGATACTGACATATCTGGTCTGAATAAATTCATATTGTGTCCTTCGTTCAAGAGATAATTTTATTCTATGTTAAGTTTTATATTTTTTGTATGTGAAAGTTATTATTATCTGAAACTTAAGGACAAATAAAGGCAATCCTAATATATATGTCCGTTTAAGCGTGATATTGTCCAGAAATACATTAATAATTGGGGGAAAACGCGCGCGGCTAATAAAACAGTGTTGTTCTTGATATTTAATTCTGACGTAGGACGTTAGTTAAAAAGTTTCTCCATATTAAGATATTTACTTATTCCCTAATATTAGGGACGAATGTATATTTCAAGAATTAGAAATTTAAATTTATACTGAAACAACTCTGTCTGTTTGTCTGCTATAATAGCCAAAATAAAATAAACAAGTTTCAGAAAAGTCGGACAATTCAGATAAAATCGTTGTATTTCATAATTTTCGATAATCATGTTTGAGTTTATTTGTCAAGATATTTTTTCGAAACAACTGCCGTTAAACAAAGATTAACATTCATGTCACGAATAAAACTAATAAGTACAAGTATTAACCTTACAGAAGTGAGTTTTATTCCAGTAGTTACAAATTCCTTTATAGAAAGATTTAAGCTTTTATAGTAGGAGGTACACTCCTCATTAGATGATTAAAGATAATTTTGAACAGAGACATTTTATATTATATATGTTCGTGAGCTGTAGCGCGCTTTTAATCACTCTGGTCTATAATCGTTTACGGTTTTGCACGAGAGTGATTAGGAAATATATATAAACTCTTCATTCACCTCTATATTTGACGTCAGACGACACTTATATTTAGAGGTTAATACTTGGTTGCTGCTCGCCATTGCGATAATGGCCCGAAGATGTGCATAATGGCCCGAGGGTCGCAGGCCCGAAAGACATTATGAACTCGAGGGCCATTGTCGCATAATGGCGAGCAGCAACCAAGTATTAACGTCTTTAATACCTATGTCCGAAATACGGCGTTTAGACATCGCTGCTAATCTTGGTTGTCGCCCGTTCTGAGAAACGGACAGTTGTCAATGTAAACAGATATCTGTCAAACACCCCGATTAACTTAGAAAACGGCACAACACACAATAAATATAAAAAATGTTGTTTTATTGTTGTTTTTATCGATAATACAGAATCCTACTCTTCACATTTTTGTGAGAATTACATTTAGATCTAGTGCCAGTTATTTTTATGAAGTTTAGTGCCTTCAAGAACGGTTTCTGAGACTGTCTAGGTCTACTGTTCAGTGATTACGAACGATCCGACCTTTTCGTACAGTCAATTTAAACTCATTTTGGAATTTCTGAGGGTCATATTATTGTCTGAAGTTTATAAATCTTCAATGATAAGCTTTGCTGATTGTGATTAATTATGTCGTTTAAACTGTGCAAGTGACTAGAGTTCATTCAACGTCAGCAGCCATCTTGAAAGTCACTGAGAGTTGATGACGTCATTCTGCACGTGCGCTCATTCACTCGCCCATTATGGAAAAATAATGCCGAGTAGCAAGGCGTCCAAAATTGCATAATGACCTAGATCTTGCCATAATGGCCCTGAAATACGCTAGATTTTGTTACTATATATAGTAACATAGGTATTAATTAAGGATAAAATCGAGTACGCAGTCATTCAATTGCTTCATTTTATGTTCAGATGCATGACATACGTCACAGACGCATTATGTAGTTGCCTTCTCCCTTAATTAGCACAATGACTTTACTTTTAATGCCGTACATCAAAATATTTTTTTGCTTAATTATTTCGACCTGGTTACATATCTTGGTCATGTAACTTGTCTTTCAGCCTTTTGACAACGTTTAAAAAGACCTTAAAATATCATAATTGTCTTTTGATGTGATAGGAACGGAATTGTTTTCAGACCTGTTTTGCGTTTTAATTTAATGCCGCGCTCCGGACATTTTTCTCTAACAATTAAATCACGAGCATTTTTTTCTCATCACCTCGGATTACATATAACCTGCAATGTCGGTGAACGATATTCGAAAATGGAACTGTTTGGACATATTACATAATAAACAATGTTCATGTAATGGCTCAAGCAGTGTAAAATTTTAAAGGACTGTAAACACGTAACGTTTAATGCCATTTTTTGGAAGTTGTCATGACGTGACGTCGTCATGTAAGTCTAGTGTTTTCTCGTTAGTGTTATATGCAAGTTGACAGAAAATCTGCAAATTTCCTGGTAAAATTCGTATCATTGTTACTGATGCAAACCTAGGATTATCGGATAATTATGCCTGGGTAATGTGTATATTAGATATTGACTTAATTTTGACTTCAATAGAGATCAGATCTGAAGAACTGTCAGTATTAACGTATGACCGTAAATTGATGGCATTACTTGTAGTTAACCTAGCTTATAAACCTACATTTATGATTATAATAAGGGACACAACAACGGATGAAACCAGGTGTTCAACAATAGTTATTGCAAATGGGTGTCACACAATTAGCTATGCTATTTCTTAGTACGAAAATGTTTTAAAAATCAATGTCATATGCTCCCAACCTTAAACAATTTGGCGATTTCACGTTACCATTAGGATAATAATATAATATCTGGAAAGAATATGATGTGAATACCTGATTTACCTTTAATTTTATTTTCATTTTTCTTGACATAATTTGAAGCAAAGGACAAGAATAAGTTATTTCACATCTTTATGAATGGATAAATAATCAATCAAACAAACAAAAAATATCTATTTGTAAGAATTTTGGAAGAAAAAAAGTCAACTGATGCAATTGATCGTTTTGGGCTTTATGAATAAAAGCTTCTTATCACAGTAAATGAAAGTTCTAGTAGAATGTCTTTTATATTTGTATTTCTTTGAAAGAGAAAGAAACAGAAAAAAAACACTTCAAAATGAAATTTGCAAAAACAAATAAATAGTTCATATTAATTTAACATGTTAAATGATTATGGCAACACGGTGCTTTTCATTTTTACATACAATAAATATTACTCTGATACAACGCTTATTCTCTTGGTGTCCTGCAAATCTTGTGCCAAGACATGTCTTGTGATTAACTACTTTCCTGATTACGCTATGTATCAATTAATATTAATAATTATATTTATAGAATGATCAAGTGTGTAATACATTGATTTTTGTAACTAGCTATTCTTTCAAGAACACGGCCAAAATATAAATGATAAGTAGTACTACAATTAATGTAGCTGGAATCATAATGATACTACAGTTTGATTGATTTATGTATAAATTATATTTACCACCTTTTCCTCGAGCTTGAAATTTTTCTTCCAAACGACTTGACCGGGGACCATTCTCAGCGGCAAGCCAATCTGATAAAAATTGAAAACAAATAAGCATTTTGAAAGCATTAAAATATCTTTTCATCACATTCTTTTCAATTTTCTTTTTTTTTTTAATTACGGTTATCACAATGTCGTATTCAATTTTTGCTTGATTGATATATGAAAGAAAACGAGATGATGAGTAATCTAAATAATTATTTGATTGCAAGTAAAACATGTACATCAAGTACTGAGAATCAGTCATGATAGTTCTTAATTATTGGTCTTAATTATTGGTCAATGTGTAAAATATACGAATGGATATACGGAAGGGTACCGAAGTCTGTATAGCAGTAATATACGGGTAAAAATACGAGTTTTTTAAAGTACGGAAATGTACGGGACCTTATGTGATACGAGTCATATATGTCTAATAAACGGCGATCCGTGAACATTGTGAAGGAGGTACACATTTTACAAAGTTATGGACTTTCAGAACAAGTCCTATAATAGAAAAATACGACAGTTCGTATTCTTGCACATACGGTTTCTGTATAAAGAAAGAGCGAATTAAGATTCTTTTTTGAACTGCCTATTTCCTATTAAAGTTAAGAAATAGTCTGATCTTACATTTGCTAGACATTTGTCAAAAAAACAACAAAAAACAACATAATATAAGAAAGACTTTACTCAATGTAATGTTTCGTGGATTTATTAACACGTGTGCTTTACATACGCAGACAGGTTTTAACAAACTTTCAACATACTGAAAATAAATTCTAACATACATTTGTCTTTACCATTGCGATTGACGTACTGACAGAACATTTTTTGTATTTTGCGTTTCTGGTGAATAATGTTAATTTAATGGATATACCATGCTCAAATTTGATGTAAGAAAATATTGATAATTGATTCACAGTATTTTTGTTAATAATTTAAAATAAGCACTTTTCGGCTTCACACAAAATACATATGTTATATTTAAAATTCTACACACTATTGGGTGTCACAATATGAATATATAATGGCATTGCAATACTGACAGTGTTTTTAAAAAAATGCCAATTTTACATACCCAGAAATAGGGAACGCAGCTTCCCATGCATATTTAATTCATTCCTTTTTCAAATAATACATATTCAGTATAAATGTCATAAATTGTAATAGAATTTTGTAATTAACACATTTTGCTTAAGTATGAACCTAGTATATCTTTAATTTTACATTGTTGTGATCATTATGGTATTTTAAAATGATAAACAAAAAGAAAGCAATTTATGAAATTGAAATCGTGATGTTCAAACCATGAATTAATGAAATCGAAATTGTGAACTCGAGATGTTGAAATGTTGAAAACGTAAATTAACGAAATAAAAATTGTGAATTCACGAATATGAAATCGGGACAATATGAAGTTGAAATGTCCCTACCAGTCTTTCGACAAGGTTTCCATCAATTTTGTTTACGTATACAAAATTGTTTGTTATTCAATTCGTGACTTGTGGATAGAAATGCTGTCATAGTAATTAAAAGGTCCACACATTATGTTAATTTTATGTTTATATATCTCTTGAAAATAAGATCAAACTTGAATATGTAAAAATGTGATATCATTATTTATTCATTCTTAACAAATAACAAAGTTGGTATTTTGTGGACATTCTTTGCATGAGTATGTAATGGAAATCTGGTTCCCAAATGCCAGAAGAGAAGAACGTTCCGCCCAATGATTCACGTGCCCCGGTGATTCAGAACCTTAGACAAAAACGATACCGATGTTTTCGCAAAACTGTTATGCCACTAATGTGAGTTATTAATTAACCTTATATAATCTTGGTGTATATTAATTTTAAATTGTATTACTGTGTAATATTGAATATTTCAAAGTACTAATGTTATCATGGTATTAAAAACAAGTAAAAAGAGTCTGCATTCATCAATTATTGACTCTTAAAATGTTTTGCAAACATCGTGTTATTTCTCAGTGACTTAAATGAAGATATAAAATTGACAAAATATAATTAGGTCTTACAAATTCAAAGAAAGGTTATATGTATCAAATGGTTTAAAAGGTTATTGCGACGAATGGAAACTAAAACTAAACGTAAAAAAAATAATAATAGTTTTTAAAAAGGGAGGGAGAAATCAGCAGAATTCATGATTTTTTGCATATGAAAATACAGACATTGAAATAGTAAAATACAAAAATGGAAATAGTAAATAAATTCTCGTATTGAGGAATCGTTTTTACAGTCAGGGAATCATTTTCCAAAACTTTTAAAACTCTTTCAGGACAAGCATTAAAGGTATTTTTTTAAACCTAACTCTTACGCAAAAGTGTCCCAATATCTCAGATTCACACACACTTGATCGTTTTGACAAGTTAAACACCTAAGCTCTGGTCGCGAGGTATGAGGTTTCATGGAAGCGGAATATATATACATTTGAAATTTTGCAAAAATTAATTAGAGTAAGGCCACAAACTCAAAATAGCTTCGTTTATAAGGAATTCGGCAGAGAACAATAAATACAACTAACAATGATCTGAATATCAAATTTTTTGTTTAAAATAAAAAAAAATGAAATCGGAACAACATTTGTACATAAAACAAGTTAACAATATGTTGATCTGTAATCTGAAGAAAAAATATAATTGTTGGGCTAATTTAATTGAACAATTACTTCAGAGACTAGGGCTTTATCATGTCTGGGTTAATCAGTGAAAAGGAAATCAAACTTAATTTATAAACTCAGTAAAGCAAAAACTTAGATAAAACTACATGCAAAATCTGGACAGAATCTCTTCGCGGTTCAACAAAAACTTCCCTTTACTTTTGTACACTTTAATCTTAAATTGTATGAAATCAACATTCAGAAATTTAGGTTGAGATTTTTGGCATATAGGTCACTTATCGAAACAGGGAGATGTCATAAACCAAAGAAAATTCCAACTAACTAAAGAGAATGTATAATATGTTACAAACTCGAGGGTGAATACCATTTCCTATTAGAATGCCCTTTTTATTGTAAAATATTAACTAGGTTTTAAAGTACTTCTTGAAAAGACCAAACATACCTATAATTATCGAATTAATGTCAAATGAACCGGCTATTATGATTTGAAAACTGTCCACTTTTATTGATAAAGCTTTTGAAATCCTTATTCCTTTTTACTTTTGAGCTTAACTGTCACAGCGTGACAGGGTGAGCTTTTGTGACACCGTGTTGTCTGTCGTTCGTCGTCCATCGTTCGTATGTATGTGCGTTTTTTTTTCATTCAAATGTCTTCTTCTCATATACCGTTGCCTTAATTTAATGAAACATGGCAGGCATATTCCTTGCATGTAGCTCACCCAAAATTGTTAAACGAATTAAATTCTTTGAAGAACAGTGGTTGCATTGGCAACCAGAATAGTTATTTTTAAAACAAAATATAGTAAAAATATTGTCAAAACCAGAAAGTGTAGAGCCTTGATATTTGGTATGTGACATGATATCGGAGCTCTCTTCAAAGATTGTTCGAATTATGGCCCTAGGATTGAAATGGGGTCCGCCAGGAGGCTAAAAAGTTCATATAAAATGCTATATAGGAAAATCTTAAAAAATCCTTTTTTCATTATCAACAAGGTATAGAACCTTAATATTTGGTATGTAACATGATCTAGTGGTCCTCTACAAAGATTGTTCAAATAATGCCCCTATGGTCAAAAGGAGCCCGCCATTGGGGTTATTTGATTAAAAAAAGTCTTTAAAAGTTCTCTTTTTTAAAACCACAAGACATACATCATTGATATTTGGTATGTTACATGATCTACAAAGATTTTTTAAATTATACCCCTAGGATCAATAGAGTCCCTGCCTATCAGTTTATATAAAATTATAAAGGGATTTTTTGTCAAAATCCACAAGGCGTTGAGCCTCTAAATTTGATATGTTACCTCATCTAGTAGTCCTCTATAAAGATTGTTCAAATTATACCATGGGATGAGAAGGGGCCTTGGCAGGGGGGTTGTCGATTTTAAAAAATATTGAAAATATTCTTTTCAAAAACTAGAAGGCCTACAGCTTTGATATTTAGTATGCTACATCATCTAGTGGTCCTCTATAAAGACTGTTCAAATAATGACCCTAGGGTAAAAGGGGCCCTGCAAGGAAACTCCTCAGTTTTATATGAAGTTATATAGGGAAAACTAAAAATTTGTCAAATTCCACAAGGTGAAGGACCTTGACATTTGGTATGTAATATGATTATCAAAATAGCCATTTAATTTATAAAAAGAAACATAAATGTCCGCCATTTCGTAATTCTTTTGTTTTGACATGACGTCAAAATTGTGGCGTTCTATCCTGTTCGTGCGTGGTGTATTTATATGAAATGAATTGGGAAAAAAAAAAGAAGAAAAATAATCGGTTTCGAAAGAAGCTTCAAATATTGTCAGAAAGTTTATTTTCAGCAAGTCTCCTTGTTGGTGAGCAGGTCCAGTGAAAGAACCAAATAAAGCAGCAAGTCTAGAAAACGGTCCACTTTCTTGTGAAGAGTTGAGCCTGAGCAACGGTCTGCTTCCCAGAAAAGAAGCAAGTCTTTGAACGGTCCGCTTCCAAGAAAAAAAGCAAGTCTTAGAACGGTCCGCATCCCAGAAAAGAAGCAAGTTTTAGTACGGTCCGCTTCCCAGAAAAGAAGCAAGTCTTAGGAGCGCAGCAATTCCACGAAGCGCAGCAAGTCTAATAGTGCATCAAGTCTAGAGAGGCGGCAAGTCCAAGAAGCGCAACAAGTCTTAAGAGCGCAGCAAGCCTAAGCAGCGCAGCAAGTCTAAGAAGCACAGTAAGTCTAATAGTCACACAAATGAAGAGCACCAACTTGAATATTTTTACAACTCTAAGATACAGTACAGACCACAAACATTCAACCAACAATATTAACTTCATACAATCTAATCAGCATCACAAAAGCAAACATAAGCATACAATATTACAGATATCGTCAAAAACTAAGCATCAAATAATATAATCTTGACAAGACAAAATCATTCCAAACATTCAAC